GGCATTCCGTGGATACTTTAACGAGATAGAGCAAATGAGTGTTAATTCAAACATAGCTTAAGCAACATAAAGCTAGTGAATCTAAGTAGCATCACCTTCAGGAAAGTCGGTAAGCAGTCTCACAGAAGAACTAATCAAATCGTGATAGTCCAAGGCGTTACAAGATTTGAGGATATCATTGTAGCTTCCAAGAATAGCAGCCTATATCCGCTCAGAGAAGAATTACATCATATGAACTAATTAATAGTAAACATGTCAGAAACAATTTTCCAGCAAACTTACCCCCATCTCATTACCCATCTTCCGACACTCTGTTGGTGTTTTACCAGAAGCCTTTGCCTAAAATGAGAAAACAAGCCAAACTTATAACATCAATAATTCTAATAGATGACAGAAAAATGATATCATCAACAAACCCATAAAAGAAAGACAACTTTCAAAAATTCAACACGCATCACCAACCTGGGTCACATATTTCAGCCACCTCTTTGATCCATCCTTGAAGTATTCAGGACATAATGTTTCATTCAAATCATCACCAAATTCACAGGCATTAGAATTATTTTTCTTCTTTTCTTTCTCATATAAACGCACTGCTTCAATTATTGCTCGTCTCTGTTGCCCGTTTCCAAAGACCGAGAATTCAGATGTACGCTCTAACCTGTAACAGTGGGACAAGTATGCGGTAAATGATTTGAGGATTCACTTATCTGTGAGATGCATGTAGATAAGTGATACATAACTGATTATTCTCAACTGCATTGCACAGCCGTGAGTCGTGACACTAATGAGATAACCTACATTCTAGTACAGACAATTCTACTTACGAGGACAGGATCTCATAAAATACCCATACGTCTCTATAATTTGAGCTATCAATTTATTAACAAAGAGTAGACTTTTCCTAAGTAGTGAAAAATTCACTTCACAGACGTTTCACACAAGCTTAGCAAGCAATGACGGAATCAACAAAATGCTTACTTTTCTGGATGCATCCGACAAAGTTGCAAAGAAAATGAATGGAACGTGCTTATTGTTAGTTCTTTTGCTGCCTTCTTTCCAGCAATGTTACCTATGCGTTCTCTCATCTCAGAAGTTGCAGCTGTAGTGAAAGTCATTGCTAGGATATTTGATGGATGGATACCCTATCAAATCACCAGAACACAAACAGATACAGAGCAATTAACAGTGGAAGATACGGAAGTAACTTATAGTTGTGAATAACTGCAGATTCAAATTATATATATGGTTACAATAATGGAAGATGTTGCAGATCATTCGGCAAAAAGAAATGAAAGTACCTCATTCAGCAACACCAAGACTCGACCAACCATGGTGGAAGTCTGACTAGGGAAAAGGAGTAGTTAGCACGACTGTATAAGGTGAAAACCAACAAAACTTGCCCGCTTTCTAACAACACAAAATTAGATTAGAAACAGACCTTTCCACTACCGGGACCAGCTAGAACCATCAAAGGGGTAGAAATATCACTACAGGCTGCATCCCGCTGTCTATCATTTAAAGACTGTAAATATTTTGAACACTCGTCAGACATGCTCTTGATCAATGCAGGATCAGCAGTGATTACGGTTTCTTCTTTCAGTTCCAAGTTGCCATTCAATGCAGGATCAGTGGTGATCACGGATTCTTCTTTGAATTTTAAGTTGCCATTAGAAATAGGTTCATGCATTTTACCAGCACTAAAATCTAATTCTAATCTGGCCTTAAAGTTGTCGTTCTTATTATCTGTGGCCCAAGTTTCATTGCCGCTGCTGATACATGGATTTTGACATGTTGCCCTTCTCTCTGACTCTTCACAGATAACGTCAATCTCTTCTAACATTGATTCGTCAATCTCATCATCTAGAAGAGAAGGAGTTGAGCAGTCATTGCTTAGTCTAAACTTCTCCAGCTCTTTCTGTGGAGTTATGAATGATTCTGATGAAAATTCAACCGGAAGTGCATTTATAATTATAACTTTCTCATCCATGCCACAAGGACCGCAGGAAGGTAAATCTTCAGATGACACAAACCCTGACTTTATGTGTGTGGATGGGGTATTCACATCTAACTCCTTAAGAGGAATTCTATTGAAGTTTAAACCCTTAGCAACGGATCCAGTCCCAGTAGAAACCTTAATTCTGTGAGGCAGAAAACAAAATTAATCAGATTTTGTGTGAGACCTAAAAGTAACCCAGCACCCACAAAATTCCAATTCCTATGACGAGAAGAAAAATCTTGTAATCGATGTTTGGCGGCTGAGAAATGAGAACATGGAAGAACAACGGTGATCAAGCATGAGTATAAAGAAATTAATCCATAAGTTTCTCCTTGGCACATAAAATCTGTCGAGAAAATTAGCGAGATTATCCAAAAGGAACCGATAGAGCTACTCACCTTTGAGGAAAACAATCAGAGAAATCAGACGCAGCCTCTGATGGCCTTTTCCGATCAAAAAGAGGTTTAGCGATCCTGAAGCTCTGAGAAATCCGGACATGGTGGTACTGATGATCCACTATTCCTCTGTTCGGCGGGCGATTCTCCATAGCTCCGCAATTTTTCCAGTTCTCCTTTGCCGAGAAACAGAGGGAAATTTTTGAAATGGAAGAGTAAGAGTAGCAGTTGTTTAAAGAGAGTACATCAAGCTCGAAAGAGACTGTTTGGAAAGATGATTAAATTTGTTCCTTTCTGATTTATGAGAATAAAAAAACACTCGTAGCCAAACAGAAGATGGAATGCTATAGTTGTTTATAAACGTAAAAGGCAAAATTACCCTCGAGTCTGCGTCACGAACTGCGGTGGAAAACAATTGCAAAAACATACTTAAATGTTTGGGTATTTCTATTTTTAACACCTTTAAATATCAAAACTCTCAATTTTATGCCTAAATTTTGTAAAATGACAAAATAACATTGTTTTCAGAAACTCCTTTTCTTGGCCAGTTTGCTACTACAGAGACGAAGAGGACGGAGCAGATGGAAGCGGGGTTTTAACCCTAATAAGTAATAACCCAGTTAGGTCGCAGCTATTTCAGGATATACCACCAAATTTTATTTTATTTTTTTTAATTTTAACCCAGTTTTCGGTTGAAAAAGTCCAAAATACCCTTTTCGTTTTATTTTTTGCGACCTGACTAACATATAACTGATATACAACTAAAAAAAGACAGATTATTTTTTTTTGTCACCTTTTTTAGAATCGATTGTAACTATATTTAGAATTAATTACGAAATCGTAATAAAGAAGTTGTTTTCGAATGGATATTTATTCATTAAGGGTAATTTTGTCTTTTTTAAGGAAAAAAATGGGTTATATTTTTCAGATGCACAAGTGAAATAGATGCGAGACAATGGCTCATTTGAGTGATTTTCCCGATGGAAGCTCTGATAGCATCTTACGGAGACGCCTCATCGGAATCCGACTCTGACGATCTTTCACCGCACCCCGGCGGGAAATCAACCGTCGGGAAAGATGAGACGGAGTCTTCGTTTTCCTTGCCTCCTCCTCCGTTGTCTCTTCTCAATCCGCCTAACTCCTCCGGTGATTCATACGAATAACAGCTAATGTGCTTGTCCTTCAATCTGATTCATACAGATTTCTCATTTTATTTTCGAATTTTTGTTTATTGAAGTTTCGATTGACTTCCTGCCTGCGGAGTCAGCGATTCGAGTGAGGAGCTTTCCTCATGTCGAGGGAAATTACGCGTTGCACGTTTACATCCCTGGTAATTCATGTTCCGCGATTTCACTTGAGTTCAATTTTTTTGTCGTAATTCCGGTACTTTTCGGACACAACACATTGGAACCGTACAGTGAGAATCTCAGGGTTCTGATGTCTGTAGTGTAGTGAACATGAAGGGTTCCTTGTTTAAGGGTATATGTCTACATAGTTCAGTTGCCTATGTTGCAGATTGAATCATACATGAACTGTTCCTCCTTGGAATCTCTTAGTAAATTTCCTTTCATGGTCTTACAAGTAATCACCATGTGTTCCTTCTCTTAAAGCATTGATAAAGTGTTTCACCTCCGCCCAGCTCTTCGAAGTGTTTCTTCCTCACTTAAGTTCATGTCCTTGTGTTTCTAGTGTCTCTACCCTCTACAGCAAAGAAAGAAATCGCATGCTTTCTAAAGAGGGTCGCTTCAGCTGTTCCTGATCTTCATTTGGTGGAAGCTGATGTTCCAGTCAGCATTCTTTGCAAAGATGAGCATAAGCTTGAACACGCCCTTGGAAGAGAGTTCCACATAAGCTTGGGAAGAACGGTTCCAATCCGTGTTCACCAGATAAACTCTGTTGTTTCTCTGCTTCGGCAGAAACTTCAGTTTCAGAAGAGGTCAAAGTCATTGTCTTTAGCATTCTGAGCTTCTGTATGAGCTGCTTCATTTAATTTCACAGACCTAACGAATTTTTCTCTCGCTCTTTTTAACAGGTATTGGATGGATTTTAGTAAGTGGGAAGTGTTTGTGAATGACGACTGCACTCGCTCTTTTCTTTCTTTGGAAATCACCACTGCCGGAGTAGCTGAGGTATAATACCAAACAGGAACAAATCCTTTCAACTTTAGCTTTTCTCTCGCTCAAAACGTTGTTTTACTTCATCATTGAAAATCGGACTGATTCTCGGTTATCTTCACTTCAGATAACTAAGCAGATTCATGCTGTGAATGACGTTTACAAGCTTCACAATCTCCCGGAATTCTACAAGGTCCACATTCCCTCGCTCTTCTCCACGGTTATCGAAGCTAGTAAGCTTGATATTGTTTAGAAATCATCAATGAGATTAACCTATCGTGTATGCATTGATTTTGGCCTTAGGATCCACGCCCGCATATATCCTTGTTGTGGGCATTGGGGGATATAAGCAACTCCTTGAAGGGAGCCGTTGAAGGAGAACTGAAGAAACTCAAAGCCGGTGCTTGCGTGCAAAATCGCATCTTCACTTCTAAGTTTTGTGGGATTGAGTGTAGAATAGGAAACAAAGCATACAAAATATGTTCATTTCCAGACGAATAATATAATTATGTGTTCTTTATGTCTGAAGGCCCGTCGCGTATCAGTTGTAATGTTATATGAGTAGACATAAAGGTCAATAAATCTTTTGCGCCAGGGCTGTCTGAGATTATTAATACCCAAGATTTCCGGGTTATCTGAATTTGGCCTTGTTCTGTTGGGTTTTTCGTAGTATGTTCCTGTCTTGAGGGGTCGGATACCCGAACTTTGGTTACTGGCCGGCAAGGGCGAGTGAGAAGAGGCGAGGCCGAGGCGACGAGATTCGAGAAGGGAGAGTTTCGGAGACCGAGAGACATACTTGGTCCGAGGGGATGAGATGGCGCGAGCGAATGAAACCTTAAATCGCCCTTCGACTCGAAGGCTTTGGCCTCTCACCCCCTCAGCCATGTCGTGTTGTCACATCCGATTGGCGAAAAGGTTATCCGAATATTCGTCCTCTAAATAATCCAATTTTTCGGGTTTGGATTCGGATGTTGTCGTTCATCTTGTATCTATGTGTGGATTGATGTTCCGCCCTTAGGATATCCGAATATTCGTCTTCTAAATAATCCGATTTTTTGGGTTTGGATTCGGATATTGTCGTTCATCTTGTATCCATGTGTGGATTGATGTCCTGCCCTTTGCTTTTCTGTATTTTCTCGCCTCGCCTCGCCTCGCCTCGTTCTTCACCCGACATCTATCTCTTTCTTCACCACGTCTCGCCTTCCTCGGATCTCGATCTTGCCTTCGACAATTCGATCCCTAACGGATAGATAATTCGTAATGTTAGACGACGAATTGAAGGTAGCGTATTCTTGAAACCGCTCCCCAAACCTATTCCGGGTAACATTTGTGCGACTCTTAACAATATGGAAACAAAACTTAAACCATACCAAAATCAAACTTTTTAAGATATTTTGTTATTCAGAATTTCGGTCTACTGAAACAAAACCGAACCAGAATGTAAACCGATAAAACCAACGCGCTAACCGGATGTCCATCAACTATGTGATCGTATTATCGTACTGAGAGTTAATCGGGAAATCTTGACGGCGGCGGAGTGAACACTCGTAAATGCATGGGCAAGGCTTCTCTGGCTCAGCTCTGCGCTCTTCGTCGACTGTCAACCATCTCAGCTCGAGATCGTTCTACGAATGAGATAGCCACCTTGTGTTCAGAGGGAAATCTTCGAGAAGCCTTTCAGAGATTCCGACAAGAAATCTGGAACGACCCTTCTCTGTTCACCCACTTCATCCAATCATGCGCCAGGAAAGCCTCTGTTCGGTATGGGAAGCAGCTTCATTGCCTCGTCCTTGTCTCCGGTTTCTCCTCCGACAAGTTCATCTGCAACCACCTCATGAATATGTATTCCAAGCATGGGGATCTACCTTCGGTTGTCACGTTGTATGGTTTCATGCCCAAGAGGAATGTTATGTCTTGTAACATATTGATCAATGGGTATCTGCGTGCCGAGGATTTGAATGGCGCCCGGAAGGTGTTTGATGAAATGGCCGAGAGGAATCTCGAGACGTGGAATGCTATGATCAAGGGCTTGATCCATCTTGAATACAACGAAGAGGGTTTAGCTTTGTTTAGGGAAATGCACGAGCTGGGGTTTTCACCGGATGTATACACTCTTGGTAGTGTTTTTAGGGGATTGGCTGGTTTAAGATCAGCAACGACAGGGCAGCAGGTTCATAGTTACGCAATCAAATGCGGGCTTGACTTCGATACGATCGTTAGCAGTTCAATCGCTCATATGTACATGAGAAGTGGAAGGCTGCAAGATGGTGAAAAGGTCATTAAGTCTATGCCGATATTGAATGTGGTTGCTTGGAATACACTCATCGGAGGAAACTCTCAAAATGGATGCCCTGAGACCGTCTTGTATCTGTATAAGATGATGAAAAACTCGGGTTGTAGGCCCGACCAGATCACTTCCGTGAGTGTGCTCAGCTCTTGTTCTGATTTGGCAATACTAGGGCTCGGTAAGCAGATTCATGCTGAAGCCATCAAGATTGGGGCGAATTCTGTCGTTGGCGTAGTCAGTTCATTAATAAGTATGTATGCAAGATGTGGATGCCTTGATGATTCCGTTAAAGCTTTCTCAGAATGTGACAATGGAGATGATATCTCGTGGAGCTCGATGATGTCTGCTTATGGGTTTCATGGGAAAGGAGAGGATGCGATCAAGCTGTTTAGAATTATGGAGGATAGAAGAGATTTGAAAGTAAACGAGGTCGCGTTTCTGAACGTACTCTCTGCTTGTAGTCATTCTGGATTGAAAGATGAAGGGCTTGAGTTGTTCGACTCGATGGTGAAAACATACGGATTGAATCCTAATATAAGGCACTATACATGCGTGGTGGACTTGCTGAGTCGGTCAGGCGATTTGGACAAGGCCGAGGATATGATTAGGTCTATGCCCGTAGAACCAGACACCGTCATCTGGAAGACATTGCTATCGGCTTGCAAAACACACAAAAACACAGAGATGGCGAAGAGGGTAGCCAAAGAAATTCTCCGGCTTGACCCTCACGACTCGGCCTGTTATGTTCTAATGGGAAACATTCACGCGGCAGCCGAGAGGTGGGACGATGTCTCTGAGGAGAGGAAAGCTATTAGAGACAGGAACATGAAGAAAGAACCAGGACTAAGCTGGTTTGAACACAAGGGTGAAGTTCATCAGTTTCGAAAGGGCGATCTTTCTCATCCTCGGTCGGAAGAGGTCTATCTATTCCTGAGATTGCTTGCTTTTGAGTTGAGGTTGAAGGGTTATGTTCCGGATACAGCATCCGTTTTGCATGAAATTGATATTGTTCCAAGTTTGTCTACTTGATACATTTCCCATTGCAGAGCTGTGACGTTTTCCGAACTTATTTGCATTGTTTTCCTACACCTTTTTTTTCTTACAAAAAACAAGTTATGTCCAAACATGTTTGTAGGGGTGATTTATTGAGATACCCGATTTCATCTTCGTCTTCAAGGATTTTAGAAAAATATTATCCCGTTTTTCGTTTTCGCAAATTTCGGATACCTAAGAATACAAATTGTTGTTTTTAGATATATTTAGGTAAATTCATTTGAAAGCATGTATAGATATTACTATAAATACATCAAAATACCAAAAATATAAAAGACATTTTATTCATATCCGGGATAACTCGTCTTTCAAAAAAACTCGAACTCGAATCCACGGTCTGGATTCTTGACCACATCGGTCTTCAACTTCGTTGCTTAGTGAATACCATACCAACGTCCCAAATACCCGCAAGACCATGTACCCAAAAGCTGCAGGTCACAAGTACCTGCGCCCAGCCCTACATGTTTGTGTGTTTGGTTCCTATTTTTTAGGGTTTGATAACTGTTCTAGACGTAGACCACATCGGGTAAGGATGATATCATCTTTTTATAACGTTTGAATGTGTTGTACTCAATAAACTGAACCCTAAATTCAAAGCATGTAAGAAAAATACCCAAAGCTTATCTTCTTCTTAACCATTATCTTCCTTTTATTGCTAATCCAACCAAAAGAAACATAACCCTAAACATTAAACTGCAGCAACATAACTTTTCAGCCTAACGGGCACAGGGTATCTCCATTTTTTTTTTTCAAGTCACAACAATGAAATCTTGAGGTCGAAGACAAGAACTCGTTCTTCGACATTATCAAATATTGGTGTACAGAATGGAAATATTGCTTGTGTTGCAAATTATCTTTTACCCCAATTCTCTATCTCTCTCTCTCCCTTTCTGTGAAGTTCTACATCTGTTCAGGGAAGCCATAACCGAACCCAACAAGCAAGCAACGGTAAAGATTCCCCAAACACGGAGGCCGATCTCAGCAGCCACGCTAATCAGTATGGTCTGTAGCGCATGGCCCGTCTGAACCTGGGGACCCTCCTGCACAGAACGAACCACCACGGCTTATTACACTTGACATTAACTACAAGATGGGTTTTCCGAAAAATATAGACTTAATCAAGTAATTGGACTTCTCCTGGTATTAGAAACCGGATCTTAAACTTGTCGAAGAATTTGTCCGCTTTTTAGTTGAAATGGTTCTTAACTTCTTAGTGATAAATGCAATTATAACTGTGGCTTGCTCCCTTAAAAGAGGCAGAGAAGGTTCTGGAACGTACCCATAAGCGTATGGAGGATAAAAAGTAGGTCCGGCCATGAACCCCCGCATGGGTCTAAACGAACGTCTTCCTCGATATTGCTTCATTCCAGGGACGTTTGTTCTCTTTGCTGATACCTGAGAATTGAACCACAACAAAGCGTGTTATAATGCATGTTTGTTTATTTAGATGGACGATAATTTACATGCAAAAGACGAGCTTATACCTTAAGCTGACGACCGTGCAATTCTGATTCATTCAACATAAGAGCATTCTGAACAGCATCTATTTCCACAAACTCGACATAGGCAAATCCTTTAGGCTGGCCAAATTTATCAGTCAGAATCGTAACCCTATTCACCGTCCCACAGGATTGAAAATGCTGCTGCACTTCCTCGGGAGTGCATGCATAGTCCACCTAGATTTAGACATACAGAATAGGAAGTTAATGAATCTCTGACCTGCCAGTTTGCATATATAAAAGGTAAGCAAATGATATGGCAATAGCAAGATATAAGCAACACACCAGAATTGATTTCTGAGATTCCGAAATAAGAAATGCAAATGTCTCTATTTAAAGGCGCAAACATATACGTAAACATATGAAAAGGATTATTAAAGCCTCACATTGCCAACGTATATGGACCGGGCATCCACTTCCTCCTTTTCAGCCAAACTTGGAGAACCACTTGAGGAATCTTCATAGATATGCACCCAAAAAGAGAATGAGAAAAGGGCACCAACCCGATTAACTACGAAGATTTATACCAAAAATTACTAAACTCTTCCGGTGGAATTCAACAAACAGACAGTAAATCGCTGACGAACTCTTTCTCATGCATCAAACTCTAGAATAGTTCTAAAAACTCCCTATATTTCCAGAAATGTTCAAATATCTAAGTAAAGACAATACATCACAACCAAGACACGGTCACAACCACATCACGACCAAAGCATCCGATGTCCACAGTGTTTCAAAAAGAAAAGTATGCACGTAGAGAAACCATTCAGACGAATTTAAGGCATTATCGTTAACAAATCTACGCATCTACAAGGACGTATATACGAATGAATCCATGGCATATACACACACCTTGTCCAGAACCCATCTCCTTCTCAACTTTGGCTTGCATTTCACGCAAAGCCCCAGCTTCCTCCTCGATCTCTTTAAGACGCTTCTTCATCTCCTCCAAGTCCTAATCAACCACCGAACAATTTCAACGACAAAATAACGACATAAACACAGGCAAAACACGACAAGAACCAAAATCGACAAGAGAAGGAGAAAACCCCAGAAGAAATAGAGATCGAACACTTAATGTACCTTGGATCCGGAGGCCGGTTCCTGATCCTCATCTCCGGCGGCGGCGCCATCATCGTACTCCTCCGCATCCATCTCTCCCTCCTCCTCCTCAGGGATATCTCCTCCGTACACCTCGTGCTCTTGGTCATCGTGCTGCTCCATGTCTCTCTCTCTCTCCCCCCGACTGCCGTACAGACGAGATTTCAGGACTTCCGGGTGGGGATTTTTAGGGCTTGAATACAAATCGGGAAAGGACGGCTCTTTCGTGATTATTATATGTAAACAGGGGTAAATTAGGAAATTTGTGTTTTTGTTAGTAGGGCCATTGAATCGAAGCGCCATGAATGGTAATTGACAAGGCATAGAATAAAATAGACTATCAAATATCATATATAATTATATATATATAAGTACATTTTGTATAAAGAGGGTGTGATACATGTTCTCTAGTTAAGAATATGAAAGATTTTTATTACGTAATTTTCAAGAGTCAAATCTCATTTAGGAATACACATTGCAAATGGTTTAATCATACGTGCATTAGTCACAAAGTCCAAAGAGGCACAGAAATTAAAGTTGGTGTTTTTGTGTTTGTATATATTTTTATTTTTGTTTCCAAAGATCATTCTTCTTTTTATTTATTTATTTAAAACTCTTTATTTATAATAACTAAATACTTTATATGTAAGAGATATTTCTATGTATAATAATTATATTCAATTTTTTAATGTTTAATTAAATATAGTATAAAAGTCTCTATATATTTTTTGTGTATACAATAAATACATACATGAATTTATATATTTATAATACGGGAGATGTCTACTATTATATAATTAGATTAGATTTCATGTTCTTTTCACACGCTGATCTCCTTGAACAACAATTTTTCGAGGGAAGATGGTTCAATCAGAGCTATAACATCGGAATCTTGAGGTATGATTCAATTTATACTTTTTAATCGGCGACATATTTTTCTATATGTAACAGAACTCGCAACTATTGCAAAATATTTCATTTTTATCCAGATATCGAATCAGTTACTTCTCTTCCAAGAAACATGTTTCGTTATCTTTTTTTTTTCAATATCCAATCTTTCATTTACTGAAAATTGAATATGAAATTCTTTATAGTAATGGAGTGTTCTCTCTTTACGAATCATTAGCATTATTTTCTCACAGAACAACCATGTCCGTAAGTTTTTTCCGAAATATTTTCATCGGTTTTTTTTATCCATAGACAGCGAAGAATGATTCATAAGAATCGCTCGAGTTTTTTTTTTTTGGTTTAAGGTGCTTTGTATTATCTATCCGGAAAAAATTACAAAAAAGTCAATGTTGGTAGTATACAAAAAATACTCCTCGACAAGTTTAATTCCCATGTGAAAGCGGCAATTACAAAATCAACCAAATAATAACTAATCATCTGCCATACGCCGTTAAATGGTACCAATTTTCAAGCAGTGCATTGTCGGGTTACTCCGACCTTCTACCTTCAAGGCGAGAAATGTATATCGCATTGTGCGGTCAACTTTTCTGCGGATTTTCTTTGCAGATCGCTTTTTTGCCGAAAGATCCGATTGTTCCTTTCCCTCCATAACTCGTAGACTACAACCTGTGTGCAGAACATTGCTAGTCTCGGTTATCCGTGATCTTGGCCGAAACCAGGAGCTATCATCCACTATAAGCATGCATTGACGTCATCCGGTGGTGATGTGCCACAATATGCCGCCATTGGGATCCAAACACGGCTGTTGTATGAACATTTAAAAAATAAATGCTCGTGTGATTCATTTTCGCTGTTGCATAGAATACATACAAGCGACACGTTCAATCCCCACGATGCAAGTCGGTCGCGGGTTGGAAGTCTACTTTGAACCACCTACCACAAGATGAAAGACATATGCGGAATTGCACTCTAAACCAGACAAGGTGGTACCATGTGACATCTGGGTCGTGCGATCGTATGAGAGCACGCGTACTTCCCGAGTGAAAACAGGCACAATATTCTTCTGCTCTTTGCCGCCACTGAAACTTGTCTTTGCATCTGTTTGTTGCGGGTGGTTTAATGGTAGACAGTGCTTGCTGTAACTCAACTAGCCTTTTACTTCTAGCAGGTGGTAATCTCCAACTTCCCTCAATGGTTGTGTCACTAACAAGCGCATGTCGCCGGATGTGTAACAAGCGAGGTCCCGTCTCTCCAACAAGGCTGATAAGTGGTCCCTTCTCAGTCCAGTTATCAAACCAAAAGGCAGATTTCATGCCATCACCTATTTCGGCTCTTAGAAAAGTTCTTCCCAAGTCACGCAACTGGAGTAATTTCATAAAGTTGTATGATGTAATTGTTGTTATCGGAGTGTCCCAAAATCCATGCTTTCTTATAGTATTCTCCTTGATCCAATCAACCCCAATATACTTTTCCTTACTGAATAATAACCAGATCAACCGCAATCGGAAGGTTATATTAACCTCCTCTAGCCTAAACAGTCCAAGTCCTCCTTCTCTTTTCGGTTTGCATATTTGCTCCCAAGAAATGCGGTAGCTTATTGCATCATCCTGTTTCTTACTCCACAAGAACCTTGAGCACATTCCATCAATTTGTTTCAACACGAATTTTGGCAACATAAAGACCATACTCCAAGCGTTGAAAGATCAATCGAATCGAGCCGTATGAGATGATGGTAGATATGTGATATATGCAGAACAATCGAATGGAATCGTAGAGTCATAGAACTTAGAATGGATCATAGAAGATCAGATAAAATAAATTAGGATGACAAAAAGAAGAAGAAAATTTAATATACATATCGAATTAAATTAAGACAAATCTTATTTTCATTATATTCAACTAAATGAGACAACAACATAGATTTATTTGAAATAAAATTTGATCAATTATGATTAATAAAGTATATATAGCACACAAATAATCTTAGTTTTTAATTTTTCTGATAAAAAATGATCAAATCTTAATTTGTATATAATTTAATAATATAAATTTAAAAATAAAATATATTATATTTAATTTTAAAATGAATAATAAAATTATTTAAAACTTGCATATATATTTATTTCGCACAAAAAAATTAAATAAATTTTTAAAATATATATTATATTTAAATTCATTTAAAAATATAATAAATATATATATATTACATTAGATGAACCATAAAAACGAAAATCGTAATCAACATTACTCTCCCCTATTCATTCATCTTATCATGTGGAGACAAAGTTCAACTTTCATCACGAGGATTCAATTTTATCGATAAGAAAAATCATCCAATCACTAAATCGAAAACTCGCATCATAAATCTAAAATTGATTTGACAAAAAACCGTAGAAATTGTTAAGGTTTTTGTGCGAATTAATGTGAAATATTAGTTTGGTCGGGTAAAGTTCCCTTAAATTTCATTGAATTTTTATTTTGAAGATCTTTCAGAGACTTGTTGAATCGATAATTGAATTTGCATATTGTACTAAAAAAATCAGACGAATGGATCAAACTGTATCATAGCTTAAGTCTGGTAAATATCGTTAATTTTTTTGAGGTCAAAACTCATATGATAGATGATTTACGAATTGATAATAAATTTTTCATATATAGAAAAACTAAGTCAATGTCTGCATTGCAAAATAAATGAGCTTATAACGGACTATGGATGGTCAGATAAATCAAATCGGGATCTAATAAAAATAATAAAAAATAAATTTAACAAAATATAGGTCAAAATAAATGAAAAGATCTAAATAAATAAGGTTTCAATTCAAATTTATTTAAATTAGAAATTGAACGATTTTATACGTAATATTATTATGATAAAAATATATACTAAACAAAGTTGACATAATTTTATTTTTATTTTTTAGAATAAAAGTAACCAAATTTTAGTTTGTAAAAAAAATAATATAATCAATTGTATAAATAAAAGAATCACCTGATTAGTTTTGTATTATATAAAATTAGTTGAGTTAAATATGTATCTATAAATTTAAATATTGATGAGATTATATAGATTTAATATTATACTATTATTTATTGTGAAATATTTATTGAATTAAATATGTTTTTATTTATAACACCAACCAAATTTATATTGTTTGTTTAAAACTATCCTTACTAAACTAATGTTAGACATTTCTATAAATATCCCCGAGTTTACAAAAAAAAATAATACTTTTCATTAAGTCATAATTTTTTAAAATATTCATCCTATAATCCACATTCAAACCGTTAGTTTTATACCATAACTCACAAAAATATAAAAAGATAGAATATATGCATAGTATATTTACCATCCCGTTATCTTCACATTTAAAAAAAATTCTTTATATCGTTTAAGAATTTGAATTATAAATTCAAAACAAGATAAATTATATTTAAAATTTTAAAATAAATAATAAAATTACTTAAAATTATATATGTATTTTTAGACTGCATGTTGCGTGCGAGTTATTACCTAGTAAATATAAAATTAAACAAATTAGTATTTATAAATGCGATATAATTTTGTGTTATTAAATTAATTAAAATAAAAATGTGTATAAAAAATCACATTGAAAAATCCGAACCTCAACTCTCACTCTACGAAAGGAATTCCAAACTTACCAAAATCGGATCACAACTAAACAAATTTATAAAGTAACTGTTTGGTTCATATTTTATTCTAATGTAATTCATTTAGATGTTATATGTGAATTCGGTCCGGATTGTTATTATTTCTTCTTAAATCTTTTTTATATATGTAAGTAGGTGACATAATGATTTTTCTAAAATATGTGGGATAGTGACAAATTTACAAAAGGAATTGGTTTCATCTAGTTTGTAAATTTGGTTTAGTTCGATCCGTTTTCTAAACAAATTAGATTTATTCAATCCTAACTTATGAGCTCAACACATATATTGAAAATATTTTTTTACATTATTAGATATAATATTAGAAATATTGTCCCAAATCTTATAAAATCATTTGATGATTTTGAATATATTTTACGTTATTAGATATAATATGTAAAATACTATCTGAAATATAGTGTTATTCGATTTATTCTATTTATAAATACGTAAAGTGATAGTTTTTTAAAAAAAACATTATAAAAATGTGGTATTGTTGTTCAAATGTAATATCAAAATCGGATAAAAAGTAATCAACCTTACAAATTTCGGGTTTTGTTCAAACTTAATTTTGTTTACATGTTGTCCAATTTAATCGGTTTAAATTGAGTCCAGATTGGTATTATTGTTCTAAAATCTTTTTTCTATGTATTTAAGTGGGTCATACGATGACTTTAGTGAACTAGGTGGAACAGTGAAATAATAATAATATTAATTATTATTATTGATATTATTATTATTATATTATTATTATTATTATTATTATTATTATGGGTGTAAAACGATGATTTTGAGTTTGACTCGACCTATTCTGATTATTAAACAAAGTATAAAATATCCAAACCTAATTTGGCGGTTCACAAGGCCGACATAATATTCACATACAAATAAGATTTTAAAAAGTAATAAATACTCAATTTACACAGGTTAGGATTCAGAGTGATTCATATCTTTACATTATTTTAAGTTGTAGTTGGTGTTCATTTTTAGATCCGCTATGCAAATCCAAAACTAATAACATATAATACTACTTTAAAATAAGATTAATATAAAGTTATGATTTTTATAAAATAAAATTCAAAAAATTCAAAATCAATTTTTAAAATAAATTATTTGTATCAATAAAAATCGGATTTAAATATAAATATCAAACCCAGTTAAAATCTAATAAATATATAAGAAAAACAAAACTCAATAATATGTCAATCGATGGGCCTCGTAGGCTCCAATGGAAATGCTGTGGGAGATGATTGATTTATGGACCGACGTGGTCAAACAGATCATTGACGCACAACTCACTCACCAATAAACTTACATATATATATAAATCAATTGGGCGAATGCGTTGACTTTTGTGAAGCCGATGATAACTTCGTAATGCCAAAGTCATCGCACACTCGTTTCTTCTTCGTCTTCGGCTCCTCCTTTCTTATTATTGACATCTTCACCTTCTGAACAGAAATCAGGATCCATCCGCCATTGAAGAAGATGGCCATGATGCTCGTCGACTGCTCCCACTGCCGCACTCCTCTCCACCTCCCTCGCGGCGCCACTCGCATCCGCTGCTCCCTCTGCCACGCCTTCACCCTCGTCGCTCCCCATCCGCGTGGCTTCCACGAGCCTCCTTCCCCTTTCCCACCTCACGCGCCTCCTCCCCATGTTTCTCCTTTCACACCTCATGCGCCTGATCCGGCGGTTTCTCCGTTCAACCACGCGCCGCCGGGCCCACCGCCGGCGGCTCACGGGAATAAGCGGGCGGTGATCGTCGGGGTTACGTATAAGAATACGGAGAGCGAGTTGAAAGGCTGCATCAACGACGCCAAGTGCATGAAGTTCATGCTGATGAGGCGCTTTAGCTTTCCAGAATCTTGCATTCTCATGCTCACCGGTATATATACATATATATATATATAACTTGCAATTCTCATTCATTCCTTCCTAGTTATGTTTGGTTTGGTGTGGTGGCTGATTATGAAAACAAATTCAGATTCGAAATTCCGACCCATTTGATCGATTGATATTGTCTAGTTAGAATCACATTCTTCTTGTCGTAAGGTGGACAAAATATTTTTTCGGTGGAGAATTCAAAAACTATTTTTAAAAAAAGGAGAATTAAAGAAAGGGGAGACGATATATAACAATTCTAAAACTCTGTTTTTTTTATATATATATAAATGACAAATATTAACCTCTTATTTATTCTAGATATAAGGACACTTTATGGATTTTAATTAAATTTTTTTTTTGGTAACCGGATTCGGATATGTTAATATCAAAATCAATAATGTGATTTAGATTATACGATCTCTATCCAAATTAATCATATACACATGAATGTCCTTCATTTATATGTTTTCTATAGCATTTTCATATATCAAATAGTTTAATTTATAAAGTTCTAGAGATTGAGTATCTCATTGATAAAGATTATATATATTGATCTAGTAGTTCAACTGCAATTAACGTTACGCCGTAAACACGAGATTCGATCTGATGCATGAGCGCAGAAGAAGAATCGGATCCATGGAGATGGCCGACGAAGAACAACATAAGAATGGCGATGCAATGGCTAGTCCGAGGCTGCCAGCCGGGAGACTCTCTGGTCTTCCACTTCTCCGGCCATGGAAACAACCAGAGGAACTTTTCCGGCGACGAGATAGACGGTTTCGACGAAACCCTTCTTCCCATGGATCATCACACATCCGGAGTCATAGTGGACGACGAGATCAATGCCACGCTCGTACGGCCTCTCCCCTACGGTGTGAAGCTCCACGCCATTGTCGACGCTTGCCACAGCGGCACCGTCCTGGATTTGCCTTTTCTCTGCAGGATGGACAGGTCCGTACGTACGTTTAACCTCTACATACACATCATATATATCTATATGTGTGTGTCACAGCAGATTGAGAGATTGATGTTTTGTTAGAAATCATACTCGTTTTCGGTCCATTAAAACATGGTTAGATCCACGTTAATGACCGAAATTCGATTACAAAAACTTGAAACAATATCTCGATCCAAATGTTTTCTCAGATAATCTAATATGACACATTTTATTTTTGGGAAAATCCTATAAAATACCTCAAATCTGCCAAAAAAATGTATATAACTTTTAATTTGACAAATAAATACATCAAATATGATATGTGCAAAAAAAAATATCAATTCTTCAAGTCGAAAACAATTTTATATACGGTCATTAATTACACCGTTGATAATTCTAATCAAATTGTTAAAAAATGTTTAATTTCAACGGAATTTAACAATCTTTATTCAAAAGGGATTTTATATTCGGAAATTCCGAAGACATCGATGTGTAGAAAACTGCTTTCAATTTCAAAAGTTAATTTATTTTCTCAATATATTTAAATACTTGATTTATTTATTTGTCCAATTTAATGTCCCATAAGATGTAGCGTCTATATATATAAATAGAAAGCAAAAATAAGATGTTTAGAAAAGGGCAGCGCCATATGGAATATATACCTTTCTGGACGTGTGCATGCATGTGTCTCTTCGTATTCTCTGGTCAGAACGTAAATATGCTTGGATTCAGACAAGAGAAAAAAAAACATTATAAATTGACACATAATATAATATATGAATGGGAAGATATGATGAGTGTACTTTAATTAGATGGTCAGTCGTTTTGTGTTGATATATATATATATATATATATTTTAATTTCTACTGTGGAATTATGTATTAGGATGGGAAACTACGAATGGGAGGATCATAGGCCTCCGAACGGGACGTGGAAAGGGACGAGCGGAGGGGAAGTCTTCTCCTTCACTGGCTGCGACGACGACCAGACCTCAGCCGACACTCCCGTACGTATACATCTGCCTTCTTTCCACCTTACCAACCAAAATAAAAATCGAATAGTCGAAATATACAATTATAATAACAATACTATGAACAATTATATACCCAATCAAAGTTGGCCGAGTGGTTCTTTGTTTTAGAAGGGTAGTGGTGGTGCCCTTGTCCCAAATCTCATTTTCGATTCGTCATTGGGGAAAGTGTACAGAGTTTATCTCCGAATTTTGGGAGAGGTAGTTGAGTCGTAACTACGGTGAACTTTCAAATTTAAAAAAAATACTATGAACAATAAACTCTAAATGAAAAAAAGAGATGGAAAGTGAATATATACTAACGTTACTAATCAACTAACAGTGAGCAAGGGTTATATATATATATATATATGAACGATCTTTCTAACGTTTCTTGTTGGGCAAGTAACAGGAGTTGTCGGGGACGGCGTGGACGGGGGCGATGACGTATTCGTTCATCCAGGCCATCGAGAGAGGGCACGGGACAACGTACGGGAGTTTGCTGAATGCGATGAGATCGACGGTCGGAGAATTCTTCAACAAAGAGAAAGGTAGGGAGCTCGTCGAAGAAGGCGACCTTCTCACCACTCTCCTCGGTTTACTCATCTTGGGCGCCGCCCCTCCTGATGAATCCGTCCACCAAGCCCCCCAAAAGCCTCAGGTATTCCAATTTTTCACATTTTCCATATATATATATATATATATATATATATTGTAATTCCATATTCAGTAATAATATGGTAAATTATATTGGGTATATTTTTTTAATGCAGGAACCTCAGCTAAGTGCCAATGAGCCATTTGCTGTGTATGGGAAACCTTTCTCATTGTGACAGATTTCCATTGTTAATCCCTAAAAATAAGATTTTTTCTTGTATTGAATTAAGTCTGGGAGTTGTATTTTTTTAAAGGAAAAACTATGTTTCCTAATATCATGAGGTAGCGACACGTGGCCCATTGAGTTTTTTAAATAGAAGCTCCAGGCGTGATGTCATCCACGTGGCAGCCCAGCCCCTGTAAATATGACCGTTGTTCGGCTTTCTAGTTTTCTACTTGTGGGTTGCTCTTCTTTATCCCCATTGGTCTGTTCGCTTCGACTGTCTCTCGGTGTCTCTTCCATGGCTTTCGCTACGGAGACTGTTAGGGTTGATGTGGTTAGTATTTGTCTTTAACTAAAAGTGCAGGAAAGATTTGATTTGTGTTGAAGACTCCAGAAGATTATTGAGATAAAATCAAATTATGAAGAGATAAACCAAGTAGTTGAAAAGATAAACTCCAATCTGAAGAAGATCAAGTCAAGAAGATAAAATCTAATCAGAAGAAGATCAAGTCGAATTTGGGAGTTAGAGTTTGAATCCAACACGTCTTGGCAACTATAAAAGAAAGAGCATGGAGCATGAAGGGGCCACGCACAAAAAGAGAGAGAGCTTGAGAGAGTTTAGTCCGTTCTGAGAGTTTTTCATTCTGGTGAGTGTTACTTGAGCGAAAGTGAGTTGTAACTGAGGGGGAGCCCGAAAATCATAATCAGGGCAAACCATTCAGGGGAGTGTGGAAACACTTGGGGTGCGTTTTGCTGATAGAATTTACGTTGTAAAGGGGAACAAACTCAGGGGGAGTTGTGTTCGTGGGTTGGATTAAGCTCGAACAAAAAAGAGTTGTAATTCACGATCTTTACAAGTGAATAGAATCAGTGGATTGTTGAAGAGTGCGTATTCGTTAATTTTTTCAATTGGTATCAGAGCCTGGTTACTGATCGTAGGATTATTCCTCTCATATCAGTGTGGGACAAGCAATACGCACAATGCAGACACTAAAGGAGTTACAAGCCTTTGGAAGATCGTTGTTGCTTGATGCAGACAACTATGGGTATTGGAAGGTCAAGGTTATGAACCTTATCAAAGGAATTGATGAGGATGCCTGGATCACAGTTCAGAAGGGGTGGACGATTCCAAAAGTCATCATTGATGGTGTGGAGACGCTTAAGCCCAGCGAACAATGGACGGTGAATGAAAAGAAAGCTTCAGCACTAAATTCAAAAGCACTTTCAATCATCTTCAACACTGTGGATTCGGATGAATTCAAACAGATCCAAGCGTGCAAAACCGCCAAAGAAGCTTGGGATGCCTTGGAATTGATACATGAAGGAACATCAAGTGTTAAGAGGAAAAGGCGTGACATTGTCAAACATCAGTTTGATAAGTTGGAGATGGATGAGGATGAAAGTGTGAAGGAGTTTTGTGGAAAACTCAGTGCATTGGCGAATGAAGCTGCAGCTTTGGGAAAGCAGTACAAGGATAGTAAACTGGTCAACAAATTAATCATGAGCTTACCGGAGAAATACATACCTCAAATAGCTGCATTCCAGATGGTGCACAACACTGACAATGTAAGTTTCAAAGAAACCGTTGGTATTTTTGCTGCTCATGAATTAGAGTTGAATGTTATCAGAAAAAAGTCAGTGCCACCTCGCAAAAAAGGAGTAGCCCTTCACGTTCCAGAAGATGACTCGCTTCATATTACAGCTGAAGACGATATGTCACTTATAGTGAAAAAATTCAATAAGTTTTTCAAGAAAAAAACTTCATATCCCCAAAAGCAAGAAGCAAAAGAGACCAACAGATGTTTGGAATGCAAGGGAAAAGGACATTGGAAGGCAAATTGTCCTAGTGTTGCCAAAAGAGAAGCTGTCTTGAAGAGTCTTCAGGAGATACAATGCTATGAATGTCAGGGCTATGGTCATACGAAAAAAGAGTGTTTGGGAAAATCCAAAGGAAAAGGAAAAGTCATTGTAAATCATGACAACTCTGAGACAGAATCTGAAGAAGAAGAAGAGGAAGAGTTACCAAACTTATGTGCATTCATTGGGATCATAGATGAAGAATCTGATGATGAAGAGGTAGATGTAAACGAACTCTACAATGAGACAATGAAGATCTACGAGATTAACATGAGGCTGGTCAAGGAGAAGAAGGAATTGGAGCTGCAACTAAAAGAAGCAAAGACCGAAATAGTGGTAAAGAAAGAAGAGATCACTCACTTGAAACAACAACTAGAAGAAACAAAGAAGAATGTACGAATGCTTGGAAGTGGAACAGAGAAGTTGGACTATCTGCTCGGCATGGGCAGACATGATCCTGGACATACAGGGCTTGGATATGTGGGCGAGCAAAACAAGAACCAAGGTAAGTTTGTGTCAGGAGGAATACTGGGCGAAGAAGTACCTGACAAAATCCGAAGGGACCCTCACTTCAGACCTGACTTTCAACCAATGTACTCTCGACCTGATTTCCATACAAGGCACTACCAACCTAACTTCCAGTCGAGGAGAACATACCAAGAGAGACGGAGCTGTTTTTTCTGTGGTAAAAAGGGTCATATTCGAGCTCATTGCCATCATCTAAAAGCCACTCGGGATAAAGGTAAGTATAATCACTATCCTTTTACTGTGAAACAGATTTGGGTAAGGAAGGATGCTCTTAACTGTAATGTGGCATTGATCTCTGAGCAAAGTAACCATGATAACATATGGTACCTTGATAGTGGTTGTTCAAGACATATGACAGGGAAGAAGGAGTTGCTATCAAATCTTGTCAGTGATAAAAAGGAGATGACGTGACATTTGGCGATGGAAAGAAGGGAAAGATGGTAGGAAAAGGTTGTCTCAATATTGAAGGAATGCTTAATCTCGCTAATGTGAATGTTGTGTAGGGACTTAAGGCAAATTTGATTAGCATTAGTCAACTTTGTGACAATGGTATGAAGGTAAGATTCACTCATGATGCGTGCTATGTGTCTAACGAAAAAGATGAGTGTGTGTTGACAGGGAAACGAACAACAAACCACTGTTATACCTGGACAGAAAAGAACAAAAATCAGCCAAAGTGCTTCAAAGTATCCACCACTGACAAGTCAGGGGCTGTTCACAGAATGTCAGAGCTCACTCACGACGAGAAAATTGTACCCAAGTCATGTCGACAAACTCGAGTTCAACACAGGAGGATAAATGAAATACAAACCGAGAGCACCAGTGGAAAGAGGTATGGATTCGTATGTGTTGATGGTTTATTCAATTGGACGAATTGTTTTAGGGAACAAGTTGACAAGAAACACCTCGCGATTGAGTATGTTCCCACAGAACATCAACTGGCTGATCTCTTTACAAAACCACTTGACATGAACAGATTCATGTGCTTCCAGAAATCTGTAGGTGTTGGGGAACAATAAAGATTTTTCTGAGTACTCGAGTCAGGGTTCCCTCAGTCGTTGGTAGGTACCACTCACTAGGATGAATAAGAAAAGTTGCAGTTAATTGATACTCCGCTGTCAACTAATTTGGTTGATATGAGTGGACTGTGTTTACAGTGACTCGGGTCTAAGTTGTGAATTGAGATAGCTAAACGATGGTCTAAGGGCAGAAAAGGTCAAAGATCTTTTCATACTCCTCTGTAAAAATTATATTTTACAAGAGTATACCATGTTTTCCATATAATTTCTCCCCATAAGTTCTTCAAAAAAAAAAAAAAAAGGAAAAAAGAAAAGAAAAAGGAAAAACAGTAAGGGGGAGGAACGAAAAAAAAAAAAAAAAAAAAGAAAAGGAAAATATAGAAAAAAAAAAAAAAAAAAAAGAAAAGGAAAAAACGAGTAGTCTGGACTTAAATGGTAAGCTATTCTCTTTGATTTCAACGTCCTAGAAGTTCAAATAATTGTTCAATATGTTTGTTCTGAATAGATGAGTGCTCCTTCATAGATTGTGAGAAGACCCTGATAGATGACTCCTGAAAAATCTGGTTTATTTTTTTTAAAAAAAGGGTTTTATTATTTTTGCAAAAATGTGATGAGTTTATCTTGAGTTGGTTAAGCGAAGTCGGATAAGCTACGTGGGTGAAAGTGGGAGCTGAAAAATCTGAAGTGTATCTTGCAAGTTACTCCCTGAAAATCTGGTTTATTTCTCTCTTGAAACTAACCTACAGAAAAAGAAACTCGACATTTTGTGTTTTTACTCACACACAAAGGGGGAGAAGGTATTGAAGATGGCCCTTCACAATGCGTCAGGTGACCCTGAGTAGTTTAACGTATGATTTGATTGCTTGAACTCAGGTAAGTGTATGATATGAAACTTGCTTTAGAATGTTTTGAATTCCAACTCATACACATAGGGGAGATATGGGTCAAAGACTTCTGGTGACAAGTGAAGAACACCGAGCAACGGACATAGATTATTTTCTAACGTTTGTTTGTGTATGAGTAGAAAGTCAAAAAGGGGGAGATTGTTAGGGTTGATGTGGTTAGTATTTGTCTTTAACTAAAAGTGCAGGAAAGATTTGATTTGTGTTGAAGACTCCAGAAGATTATTGAGATAAAATCAAATTATGAAGAGATAAACCAAGTAGCTGAAGAGATAAACTCCAATCTGAAGAAGATCAAGTCAAGAAGATAAAATCTAATCAGAAGAAGATCAAGTCGAATTTGGGAGTTAGAGTTTGAATCCAACACGTCTTGGCAACTATAAAAGAAAGAGCCTGGAGCATGAAGGGGGCACGCACAAAAAGAGAGAGAGCTTGAGAGAGTTTAGTCCGTTCTGAGAGTTTTTCATTCTGGTGAGTGTTACTTGAGCGAAAGTGAGTTGTAACTGAGGGGGAGCCCGAAAATCATAATCAGGGCAAACCATTCAGGGGAAACGAACAACAAACCACTGTTATACCTGGACAGAAAAGAACAAAAATCAGCCAAAGTGCTTCAAAGTATCCACCACTGACAAGTCAGGGGCTGTTCACAGAATGTCAGAGCTCACTCACGACGAGAAAATTGTACCCAAGTCATGTCGACAAACTCGAGTTCAACACAGGAGGATAAATGAAATACAAACCGAGAGCACCAGTGGAAAGAGGTATGGATTCGTATGTGTTGATGGTTTATTCAATTGGACGAATTGTTTTAGGGAACAAGTTGACAAGAAACACCTCGCGATTGAGTATGTTCCCACAGAACATCAACTGGCTGATCTCTTTACAAAACCACTTGACATGAACAGATTCATGTGCTTCCAGAAATCTGTAGGTGTTGGGGAACAATAAAGATTTTTCTGAGTACTCGAGTCAGGGTTCCCTCAGTCGTTGGTAGGTACCACTCACTAGGATGAATAAGAAAAGTTGCAGTTAATTGATACTCCGCTGTCAACTAATTTGGTTGATATGAGTGGACTGTGTTTACAGTGACTCGGGTCTAAGTTGTGAATTGAGATAGCTAAACGATGGTCTAAGGGCAGAAAAGGTCAAAGATCTTTTCATACTCCTCTGTAAAAATTATATTTTACAAGAGTATACCATGTTTTCCATATAATTTCTCCCCATAAGTTCTTCAAAAAAAAAAAAAAAAGGAAAAAAGAAAAGAAAAAGGAAAAACAGTAAGGGGGAGGAACGAAAAAAAAAAAAAAAAAAAAGAAAAGGAAAAAACGAGTAGTCTGGACTTAAATGGTAAGCTATTCTCTTTGATTTCAACGTCCTAGAAGTTCAAATAATTGTTCAATATGTTTGTTCTGAATAGATGAGTGCTCCTTCATAGATTGTGAGAAGACCCTGATAGATGACTCCTGAAAAATCTGGTTTATTTTTTTTAAAAAAAGGGTTTTATTATTTTTGCAAAAATGTGATGAGTTTATCTTGAGTTGGTTAAGCGAAGTCGGATAAGCTACGTGGGTGAAAGTGGGAGCTGAAAAATCTGAAGTGTATCTTGCAAGTTACTCCCTGAAAATCTGGTTTATTTCTCTCTTGAAACTAACCTACAGAAAAAGAAACTCGACATTTTGTGTTTTTACTCACACACAAAGGGGGAGAAGGTATTGAAGATGGCCCTTCACAATGCGTCAGGTGACCCTGAGTAGTTTAACGTATGATTTGATTGCTTGAACTCAGGTAAGTGTATGATATGAAACTTGCTTTAGAATGTTTTGAATTCCAACTCATACACATAGGGGAGATATGGGTCAAAGACTTCTGGTGACAAGTGAAGAACACCGAGCAACGGACATAGATTATTTTCTAACGTTTGTTTGTGTATGAGTAGAAAGTCAAAAAGGGGGAGATTGTTAGGGTTGATGTGGTTAGTATTTGTCTTTAACTAAAAGTGCAGGAAAGATTTGATTTGTGTTGAAGACTCCAGAAGATTATTGAGATAAAATCAAATTATGAAGAGATAAACCAAGTAGCTGAAGAGATAAACTCCAATCTGAAGAAGATCAAGTCAAGAAGATAAAATCTAATCAGAAGAAGATCAAGTCGAATTTGGGAGTTAGAGTTTGAATCCAACACGTCTTGGCAACTATAAAAGAAAGAGCCTGGAGCATGAAGGGGGCACGCACAAAAAGAGAGAGAGCTTGAGAGAGTTTAGTCCGTTCTGAGAGTTTTTCATTCTGGTGAGTGTTACTTGAGCGAAAGTGAGTTGTAACTGAGGGGGAGCCCGAAAATCATAATCAGGGCAAACCATTCAGGGGAGTGTGGAAACACTTGGGGTGCGTTTTGCTGATAGAATTTACGTTGTAAAGGGGAACAAACTCAGGGGGAGTTGTGTTCGTGGGTTGGATTAAGCTCGAACAAGAAAGAGTTGTAATTCACGAGTGAATAGAATCAGTGTATTGTTGAAGAGTGCGTATTCGGTCCTTCTTCCTCGGTCTTGTCCATATGCTTTTTTTTGGTTCCATTTCTATTTCGATTTAGGGTTTGATTTCTTCCTCTGTTGGGCTTTTCCCTTGATCTCTCGTCGTCTCTTCCATGGCAATCGCAACGGAGACGACACGACCACATGATAAGGTAAGGAACACCTTCTTCGGATGAATGAAATCTTGTTTCCTTTTTCGATTTTCTTGTTCTTTGGTGAAATCAGCTTCGAGATATCTTTGCGAACGTATGTGGGTTCAGGGTCCTTTTCCTGAGAGATCACAAAGGATATGGACAAGATCTTGAATTAGGGTATGCATTTACGTTTACAAAGTTTATACGCATGGACTTAATTGATAGATTGAAAAGCTTTACCGAGTGATAAGAGGGGCTCCAAACATGATCATTTACATCGTTGCAATTTACTCGGTTATTTTCTCTGGTTATGTATGTCTCTGTAACATGCTATGCGATTTTTTCCATAATTGATTACTGGGGAAATGAAGATGGTGCTGGAGAAATGGGAACTGTGACAAGTAAAACTTGTCTGAGAGGTCTCTATGGCTTATTTTACGAGGTAGAGATGCTCGTGTTTTCTGGGTACAAGTTTTCTGAGTTCAGATTTCCTTATCAAAGATTAGCCTTCTGTTACTTGTGGTACCATCTATAGATTGATGGATCTATATTGATGAAGTTCATTGGAAATGGGTTTCTAGATATTTTTTTCCCCTTGGATGCCTGGATGGTTATCAATGCAGTTCAGAAAGCAAATTCTCTTTGGGGAGGATGTGGCCATTAGTATAAATGACCTCTCCTATTGATTTGGGACTTCTATTCTTCTATATATATTTGCTGTTGTAGTAATCTGTGCAGTGATTGGTTCACTTGAGCACACATTGTCAGGCTTGGCGCTTGAGGTATCGGTTACGGTGGATGGTGGAAGTCCGAGGAAGATGCTGCTGAGAGTTGAAAACGGTTCAAGTATAGCACCGGTGGAACTGCACTTTATTCTTGCGTACTCTTAATGCAGGGAAGTTTGCTTTTATCTCTAGCATCGGAGGAAGTGGTAGTCTCAATGGCTGTGGAAGGATTGGTTTCCACTGGTCAGACATTCCTACTGGAGATGACTATCATCATCATATTGCCGAAGTTAAGGGAATAATTTATGTAAGTTTTTTTTTCCGTGTTATGCATTTTGTTTACAAAGTTTACACACATGGACATCATTGATAGGAAATTTCACTGATCTATTATCCTTTTTTTTATTGTTTCGATATCCTGTAGGCATGTCCTTCCGGAACTTATTAGAATGTTTCTGGATCCGATAAAGCCCTTTGTCATCTTTGTCCACCTACCGATCTTCATCATCAATCTTATCTGATCTTTATTCACTAATTCTGGCCAAAATGTAAGACCGAATTTCAATTGACTTTACTGCTCAAATGAATGAACGACCACACCGTCTTCCGAAGGATCTCGGTTTTGTATATGCTAATGTCCTGTCATTGTGTATCTGATGCACAAATTTTTGTGTGTTTCCATCGTTTCTTGACATCGGTGTTTTTAGAATGATGTTTCAAAAAGCTAATGACGTTTCTGATTCCATATGCAAGGCAGACACTTTAAGGTTAATATGTTTTAGCGTATATTGGATCTGAGTGTAAAAGGGGCTCATGATTTAGGCCTTTCCCAGGAATCCGTCTGCGTCCAGAAAACATGGTCATTACGGGTTTTTGCTGGCTAATAAATAATTTTATGACTCCTGAAGGTGTGGGCCGGAGCTGTCTTAGGTGGTCCTTTGCAGAATGCATCAGGCGGTGCCGTGTAAGTTCTGAAGGTTTAAGTGATCCTAACTTTATATTTTCTCTGTTCTTTGGACGGAGCCCGTCGAAATTGATTTTTCTATCTTTTTTTTTTCGAAAGTACGCCAAGGTTTTACTGTGAGACAAGTTTCCCAAAGTTACAATACTGTCACATGATTTATGTAAGGTGTAAAGTGGTGCTGGGGGAGGTAGGTTTCTGATAACGTAATTGGTAACGGTGGTGGACGAGGATGTTACAATCTTAATTTTATAGACGGTGGTGATTCTTAGAGGGATGTGGATCTTCCTTGTGACTTCGGCAGTGGAAGTGGAGATGAAGATTCGAGTGATTCAGTTACTGGTGGCGGAGTCCTGGGTGAGTCGTTGTTGGCTCATTTGGAATGATCCATTATCAAGCTTGTCACTTGAGGGATCGATTACGGATGATGATGGTAGTCGGAGGAGGATGGTCAAACTTGTAAACAATGGTCAGACATTCCTCTTTTCTTGCATACACTGGTCAGACATTCCTACTGGAGATGACTATCTTCCTATTGCCAAAGTAAAGGGAAGAATTTATGTAAGGTTTGTTTTACAAAAGTTCCTTTTTTTTTTCCTGTGATGCATTTACATTTACAAAGTTTATACACTGGAGATGACTATCTTCCTATTATTTGCATTGTTGCAGTTTTCTTGTTTACTTTTTCTGGTTTTGTCTCTGTATCGTCCAAAGTGATTTGCTATAGTTTATTACACCGGAGGAGCGAGTATCAGTGAAGGTTATGCTGCGGAAATGGGAACTTTGACTGTTAAAGCTTGTCCAGGAGGACTCTACGGCTTATTTTGCGAGGTAGATATGCTCGTGTTTTCTTTTGGATTACAAGTTTAACTTGTTTTACCTCTGGTTTCTAGTTCCCTGAATTCGGAAATTCCTTATCCAAGTTTTTACAATGGACATTAGGTTGTCTTAAGAACTGGAATCACAACGACATATACGAAATTCATGTTAACCAGACGATGGAATGTTAAATTTCTTTAAGTTATTAATCTGATTAGAGAATGAATGTCGAAGGCCCATTTCATCTAATCTTGTTGGTTAGTCTCTTATGCTGCAGTCTCAGGGAAATGGTTTTTTTCTAACCTACTAACACAGCTTGGAGTTTATATCATCGGGCATAGGAAGTTTCATTGATCTTGCATACTTTAACCTTTTTTTTTGTTTCGGTATTCTGTAGGCATGTCCTACCGGAACTTATTAGAATGTCTCTGGATCCGATAAAGCTCTTTGTCATTGTTGTCCACCTGTTGGTCTTCCCCTTCGCACCTTATACGTCACTGTTCGAGATTCTTCTGTATTTTTAAACACCAATCTAATCTGATCTTAAGCCACTAATTCTGGCCAAAATGTAAGACCTGCTCAAACGAATGAACGACCACACCGTCTTCCGGAGGATCTTGGATTTTGTATATGCTAATGCCCTGTATTTTTTTTGTGTTTCCACCGTTCCTTGGCAGGTGGTGTTGCTGAAACACCTCGTCCATATCGACGCATTTCTGATGTCGAATTGTTACACTACATTGGAAGAGTTGATGCAGAATCTTTTGGTTGTTTGATGTTTTTTCAACTGTTGCTCGGTTGAAATCGGCTAGCGCTGATGAATCACCCGGGAGTGCACTTGGCCCTTCATGGCTCTGGAATTGATCACTCTCTTCCTGTACTTGAATCACTTAACAAGGTAAATTTCGTATTCTCTTTTATTTCTCTTTCACAACAGTGGAGGTAATAATATCTGTTGCTAAAGCTGACATCACTGGAGAAATATCATACCAGATTGCGATACTCACTCTCGGCGCCTGGACGCTTGCAACCGACAGCCGTAGTTGTGTTTTGGTCGATCTTTTCCTCTCTCTTTTTCCAAGGTCTGATTATTGCGGAAGACGTTTGCAGAGTTGGATATAAGTTGGAAAGCAGGTGGTTGTTTGTGTCTAATGTCTGAAAACTGCGTATAGCGGCTACATGTCTGTAATTTCCATTCAAGAACATGGATATGCAGATGTATACGTAAGTGTGTTGATCTGTATATATTTAAAAAAAAAAAGTACTATTAGAACACAGAGCAGGTGAAACGTCCAAGCGAGAAATTACAAGGACCAACAGGTGCGGTGCTTCACTTTCTTTCCGCTTTGAAGAAAGCAAGAAAATTGGCGAACGTGATGTTTGATTTGAAATGCAGGTTGCTGCCACGCCGAGGTTGACAATGGTGGATCATTCACCACATTCGATTTCTAAACATATTTAATTGGGTCATTATAAAAAATAATCTTACTTTGCTATTTTTTACCCATGTGACCAGAAATTTAATCTTTATATCATATCTTGGTCACAACGTTAAATTTATGATGACTACACCCATTTATTATATTCATACCTTTTATATATCCCTAATCATTTGATAAAAAATAAATTCAATACTATCACCAGAATAAGATTAAATTTATGGTTCATAACTGAAAAAGATATATTTTGAAATCAAAATGGCAAAATAAATATATTTTTGATATAATGCCTTTAATTGCAGATTCAAATAAATCAGCTCGGGCAGATTCAAATAAATCAGTATCTAATATGATCGTGATCTGTCTCATTTACAAACCTTACATTCCAAATACCTCAACCAAAAAAAAAACCAGGGCAAAACCTTAGAGAAGAGAACAACAAACTTATCCATTCATTCATGTGAAATGTCCACTTTTTCCAGAGTCTAAGAGAGGCACAGACCATAAAACTACGCAGCTTCAAAAACTTCTCCCATAGCATACCGATTTTTTTTTGTTCCCTCCATTGGCTCAGTTGTCCCGTCTGGTCGGTCTCCTACGAGGTGCCGCTGCTCCTGCGGTCTCGTCCTTCTCCTCATTCTCTTCGGATTTCTCGTGGCTCGTTCCCTCGCTACCCGACACCTCTGTGGTTTCCGGCTTTCTGGTCTCAGGCTTCGCCTTCACAAATTCAAGTTCAGACACATAAGCAAAACGGTGGTTTTGTGATTCCTACGTGTTTCGAGTGGATATCGGGAGACTGAGGACTAACCACTTTCTTCCCACCGAAGAGGAGCTTGAGAACGAGAGTAAGGAACACCGCCACGATGGCAACAAAGACACCGATGGTGATGTTAGGTTGTTTCTCGGCCTTCTCGATGAGATCCTGTGAAAAGAAATGTAGCATAACAAAAGCTTCAGGATCGGTCATCCTGTTGCCGGGTTTCAGATAAAATAAGGATATGTTAAAAGCTTACAAGAATCTTGAGCTTGTAGTCACTGAGAAATGGAATATCTGAAATCTTGTACAGTAATTCAAACACCTTCTTCTGCGATGGGTTTGATCAGAGAAGCATCGTTATATAATGTCCAAAATAAAGGAAGAGTTCACGTGAAGATCGTTACCTGGAAGCCCTTGAGATGACCGTCCTGATCAGCTGTGTCTTCCTCTTCCTTCTGTTTCTCTTTCTCATCCTCAAACTTCGGCTTCCATGTGCTCAAACGGATCGATTCTGCAACCTTTTCGTCTTTAGCAATCAAAATATTGTCGAACAGTAAACCATCTTGCATTGTCCAAATCTCGATCCCGATAGCAGCTACAGGCTCAAAGTCTGGCTTCTCGAGTTCAAAGTAATCGGGATTAGGAATTTCCCGGGGTTTCCAGATACCCTTGTAGTTCGGATTATCGATAAGAGGGGAACTCCATTTGCCCTTGTAAGCAGGGTTCCTCTTCATAGGCCTCTTCCATTCGCCACAGCCAGGAGCTTCAGCACACTTAGGGTTATCGATCTTTGGGGCTTCCCACTCGCCATCCTCATCATCATCCCAGTCTTCGGGTTTCGTTGCCTCGGGATCATCAACATCCTCAGGCTCGTCATCCAACCATCCTTCCGGTTTCACAGCTTCCTCATCTTCAATTTCCATAGGCGCATCTTCATCCCAATCAACTGGCTTGACAGCATCAGGATCCGGAATTTTTGCTCTCTCATCCCAGTCTTCAGGTTTCTTGTCGTCCGGGTCAGGGATAGTCTTTGGGGGAATTAGGGGAGGCTCGAAATCTTCAGCCGAAAGAAAGTTTGCCTTTTTCTTCTCCTCCCCATCAACCAGAATCCTGAGCTCATTGTCAGGCTTTATGACCGCTGTGTAAACGTGGGACAACTTGTCATATGGGACAGATGGAGGGAACTTGAGATGGTGCTCCACGTACTCTCCACTCTTTGGATTCTTATGCTTCAAAATGAAATGCACCTTGTTTGTGGCACCACACTTGTCAGGCCCAAACATAATAGAATAGGGCGACTCACTGTCGAAACCCTTCGGGGTCCATCCAGCCTCTTGAGGACGGAGGTACTTGATGTATGCACCACCGCACTCAAGACCATCCTGGAAACGAACATCATACTGGAGGACGACGGTTCCATCCTTGAGACTGACGGGCTCATCGAGCTCTTTCACGATACCATACTTCCTGGCCTTCTCGCTCACAAGAAGACCATAATCATCGTGTCCCTCGCTCTTTTCATGCTTCCAAACACCTGATATCAAACACAAAGTCAGCCAACTACAATCAACACGTCACATATTAAAAGACATGGAGATATACGAGAAAGCAACAAAGCTACCTTATTTAGCTAATAGCTACACTTAGAAAGACACCTTTTATAAATACGACGCAACCAAACGGTATCACTTGAAAGACAACAAGAGTTCAAACGACGAACAGAAACATCTACAAATACACGCAGCAGCGACCAATAGAAGAAGGTTCAACAATTTCATATCAATTTATCGCAGATACCCTACTTTCTCCAGCTCAAAAATTTTAGCTCGAACAAAAAATAGCAACAAATTGGGAAACAGACAACATAAGACAGAAACGAAAAATGAAGAGAAAGAACAACATCTCAACTGATAAAAAAGCGAGAGATCTCACTAACCTTGATAGTCTTCGTTCGCTGAGACAACCCAACGACCGTCAAACGACTCATCAAAAGACTCGTAGAACACCTAAATCACAGACGAAAACAACAAGAGCAGTAAACAAACATGGAATAAAATCAAATCCAGGCACAACAACGTCTACAGAGGAGAAGCCAGTACCGTGGCATCGCCGTCACAGAAGCAGAGCTGCAGAAGAGGAGCGACAGCCAGAAGAAAGAGGAAACATCGAAGATTCTTCTTTGCTTCCATCAGAGAGAACCCTAACTTAGGATCCGATCTGAATCTGGGAGACACTGAGGAAAATAGTAGGAGAGAGAGAGGAGGCTGAAATGAAGGGTTGTGTAGATTTGAAGTCACGGTTCCATTAGCTTCTAGAACCCCTTTTTTTTATTTTATTTTTCTCCAGACTCCGCCTTGTTGTTTCTGCAAGCGTCAACCAATAATAGAACGACACGTCATAAAGCTTCTGTTTTTGGAGAAGGCTTCCACGAAATGGGATGGAGCCAAGCCTCGGTTCGAACAACGTTTTGTTTCCTTTTCTATTTCGCTGATAATTTTCAGTTAAAAAAGAAAAGTGACGGAAAAGAGCGTGAACGGCAGGATTCGAACCTGCGCGGGCAGAGCCCACATGATTTCTAGTCATGCCCGATAACCACTCCGGCACGTCCACCCTTTGTCAATCAGATTTTTCAAAATTATTTGGTTTCCTTACACAACATACCCAAGAACTCGTACGGACAACATAAGACTGCAACTATCCAAAAAAAAAAAAAAAGAGTACCGTCTTAAGGAAAATTATACAAAAGGAAACTTAAAAAGCATCAAACATGGAGTTGGTGCATATATGATATCAAAATCCCTAGAGACAATACTCTTTCCAAGTAAGACCTCACTGCTTTAATCCCCGAGGGAAAAAAAATCACTTTTTTTTTTTTTTTATTAACTTAACAACAAGTTATGCCCACACAGAGTGCAGACTAGAGAAATATTGGTGTTTAAATGATCTCTGTATCTTCTACTTCCATAGGTTCTTTTTTATTACCCCCTGTTTCTTTTTTTTTCGTCATCGTAAATTTTTTTCTTCTTCTGAAAACCCGAGGCTCTGAAACCATACGGAACCCCGAGAGCAGAGCGGCCGCACCTACTCAAGCTCGAGACTCTTTTTCATAGCTTCGTAAACCAAGTACGTAATACTTGCCGCCGGAACAACCTTGAGAAGGTTAGGGAGAAGCCCTCTGTAGAAAGCTCTATAGCCTTCTTCCCGCAGGGTCCTCCGGAATACTCCAGACATCGAGGTCTTTGCACGTTCGGCTTGCATTCTGATAAAACCGAGCATGACGGGTTTGTTGGTTTTCACGAGTTAGAAAGAATTAAGATGTGAACAATAACTTCACTAGCCACAAAGGTTATGGAACAGGAACCTTCTACGTGTACATCACGTATTACATACCTTGTTCTGACAACCTGCAATGGATAAACACAGGTTGCTCCAAGAGATCCCGAGATTGTTCCGCATCCTAGTTGGATGAGTGGCCCCGGTTCTAGAAATCGAAACCAATCCAAACCTCGTGAGTGTTTGTTAAGCATCGTCACTCAGTCGGAAAAGCAGATGAAAAGTATGGACAAAGAAATTACCGCTGCTGTCTTGAAGGATATAAGTCTTGGACAAGTCCTTTAACGTCTCGTAGACAGCAAGGTCAATACCCGCATATGGAATAATCCCAAGGAGAGACGGGAAAAGACCTTTGTAAAACGCCCGTGGGCCTTCGTGAACCCATATTTCCCTTGTCAGAGTTCCCAACCTGGGCCCTGCACAACCTTGGCTCGTCGTGTAAGTCTGCAACCGAGTTTTCACGAGATCCAAAGGGTATATAGCAGCTTGAGCCACTGCACCAGCCATGCCACCAGCAAAAAGTCTAGCACTAGTGCCAATGTCCCCTTTTGCCTCACCCATGTTATCACCGATAACATTTTTAAACAGCTCATATGCATAAAATTTGATGGCACTCTCCGGAGCCACCTTCACGACATTCAAGCCATTACCACGTAAGAAACCCAAGAAACCATCTTGCTTCCAAATCATCCTAATGGCTTCTCGAATATTAGCATCGGTTTTTTGAATTTGCAGAAGAACTTTCAAGCGATCCAGAGGCGCAGTCACAGTCCTAGAAGCAGCACCTGCTATTCCACCTGCGGCAATAATACTTTTGTTGTCAAAACTCCGAATCATATTTTACATGTTATCGTAAAAATGGAACACATTTTAAGAAATGAAGTCAAGAAGATGTACCCGCGATGAAATATTTGCCCCTCTTTACGTGTTAATTTAACTCGCATTTGTACACAAAATCATAAAATATAATGCTAATTTCCCAGTGATGGTATATATTTTCTATGGTGGCTTCATGCGGGTACAGCAAAAGAAAATCTCTCCATTCTTCAAAAGTTATAATTCCGTTGTTGTCCTTGGAAACGTCTTCCACAAAACGAGCAAGCTCCTCGTCGTTTATCTCAATTCCTGCAAAATATAAACTGCTGTGGCTTATATAAGACGTAAACAGACTTAAGAACACAGGATTTAGCTAGAAAACGTGTTCTATCCGATGGTGTAGCTCTGATACTAAATCCGGAAAGGGAGATGACTGCTAGCAAAGCTTAGTATCAGAAATGAATTAGAGCACATCCAATGTGGTAAATAAGATAAGCTTAATAGTCAACAGAGGGAATAGATCCAAGTTTATCACTTTAATGAATTCCCCATAACAAGTCTTCATAAAAATGGCGTTTCCAGACTCATCTCAGCCCCCAAAAACGAAAAAACAGGAAAAGAAAAAACCCTTCAAGTGTTAACATTCATACTTGCAAGAGTTAACTCTGGCTAATGATCACATGAACATGCATTCATACAAACCGAGAGCACTAGAATCATCAAGAATTTGAAGAATTCGAGCAGATAAATCATATTATACCGGCCTTAACGAGCGCATCCCAAAGTCCCTCCGGCGAAATGCAGCCGTTATGCTCAACATCAATGGCTTGAAATATTCTGTAAAGCTCAAGCTCCTTGTCGTCCATATACCGACGGAATTCGTGATAATCCACACGCCCATCTCTGTTGGTGTCGCAAACCCTAAACAAATCCTTAGCGTATTTGTACCCACTTGGGATTTGAAGAGCAGATAAACCCTTCTCGATCTGGGCACAATCCAGGTACCCGACATTCTCAGAGTCGAAGAAACTGAACAAGCTTCGGATTCGGACATCTCGTTCTTCTCTTGTCTCCCGGAGGGCAAGAAGAACGTGTTCCATGGAAACGGGTCCCGATTTCTTCACCAGGTTGGAACACCCATGTTTGGATTTTGCAGCTTCCATTTTCGACGGTAAACCCACGTGCTCTACGCCATGACCCGACATGACAAAAAGAAAATCAGAAGGAACCCAGATGAAAAGATATCAAATTGTGTTCTGGGTTCGGATCATCGCGGTTTCTGGGTTCAAATCACATCACATCTTCAGATCTACAGGCTCGTAAATGAATCAGATCGACGACAGAATCCAGCATTTAAAAGACATTTGACCTGGAATGTCGAAGGAAACTTGAAATCTCGCAGACTCAAATCGACCAGACAATGATAATACCGGAGGTTGGATCAAACGGAAAAGAGAACTTAGGGTTCCTTCTTCCTGAGTTCGGCAATTGAGCAAGGAAGTCCGAAACGATGGATACAGGAAGGATTCGAGAGATAAGAGTCGAAGCAAAGAAGGAACACAAAGGAATCCGTGAAATTATCACCGAAAAGATTCCAACTTAAAATTATGAAGACAATGGGGATTGATGCTGATGCTTTTTGCGTCGCCGGAGAGGCTGAGAGTGGAGGATGGAGGAGGAGAAAGAAGTGGGCAATGCAAAGGCGATGGTGGGTTGTGATATTCTTATGGGATATTCTTCATATATATACGGTTTATTTGATTCATGCGTTGATTATATCTGTCTTTTTCACGATGTAACATATTTAATTACTTATTATATTATTATTATTATTATTATTATTATTAGATATTATCCCATCGTAGCGGCTGACGTGGCACGCCACATAGATTTTTTTACCACATCAGCATGTCACGTCGGATTTTAAAAAAAAATCCAAAAAAATATGAAAAAAATCGAAATTTTAAAAAAATAAAAAATAAAATAAAGAAACAGCAAAATATATATATATATATGTACATATATATTTATATCTATATACAAATAAAAATATAAATATATATACAAAATAAAAAACATACACATATATATACAAATATATATACATATACATACAAACAAATATATTTATATATACATATACATATATAAATACATATATATGTATATATATACATATATATATACATACATACATACAAAATAAAAAAATTCATATATATATATATATTCATATCCACATACAAATATAAATATAAACATAAATACTTCTATGTATATATATTTCTATATATATCAAATAAAAATATACACATATATTTCGATTTGATTTTTACTACATCAGCAACTTACTCATGATTGCCTTAAAATACCAAAAAAATATTAAACATTTATGTTCCAACGGTCTTTTATATAAAGATTTAATAAAAATATTTTTATTATATATTTAACTGTGTAATTTAAATAAATAAAAAACAATAAATTTAGTTTGTATCCTAAAATTTTCTAATTTATAAATATAAAAATCAAATCGAAATAAAAAATTAAGGTATATAGTTTGTTGATAAAAATATTGATTTTCGTTTTCATTAATAAAATATATATTGTATAAAATATTTCCATTCACAGAGTTTTAGTTATATGTATATATATAATTTAATTGGGATCAATTTAATTAAAAAAACACATATTTATTTTTTAAATTATATTTAATTTATATTATTTGATTACGTGATTTTATATTTCAAATCCGAAATGGTCGGTAAAGATCAGTAATCGTAATTTCTGAGTAAAATACTATTACGATGTTAATTAGCATTTTTAACTAATGCATTATCTTAATTATAATACTAACCGTATAAGCAAATATCATGTTATTCGCTAAATTATGAATATGATTTTATTTCTATTTTGTATTCCTTTTTTCTAAATTAGATACATCAATTCCTTCGCACATTTCGAAATAACTTTTTGTTTCGTTTTTCAGCCAATATATTATTAGGTGGGATTCAAGAAATTGTTATAAAATTTTGTGAGCCCATCAATCGAGCAACAATTTTTCTCTACGAAGGTGCAGATTGCAGCGTGAACCGTTGTTTAATAATATTTTTTTAAAAAAAAAATCAGAATAAATCGAAATTAATAGAATTCAATTCATCCCAAATTGGAATTATAATTAGGTAATTTTATAACAATAAAAAAATAACATTAATTTTTAAATCAAAGCATATCTGCTTCAAATATTTTGCCTCGGACATACTATTTCGATTTTAAAAAAATATTTTTTAATTAACTCGATTTTATATAATCAAACTGACATTATATTATATTATATTATATTATAATTAATTTAAATTTGGGTGGTCTAGTGGTGAGAGACATGCAAAGTATCTCTCATTCTGGGTTTAAATTCAAGCATGGACAGAAGCATTCTCATGGATTTTCTCGATCACGTGTGAGATGTAGTCGGATCAAAAATTCGATGAACTTTCGGATTATCAAAAAAAAATATTATAATTATATTGAACATTACGCTGGAGTAGGATATTCTTTGACTAATAATAAAAAGTTATCTTTAACATTATATGATGTCGTCAACACAATGCTAAAATAGGATGTTCTTTGACTAATAATAAAAAAGTTTGCTTTACCAAACAGTGTTATTTGCTAAAACTATGCAAATTAAAAATTAGGAATATGAAATTTAATGCAAAAAAAAAACACCATATTAATCTGAAAAACAAGAAATAGGAAATATGAGTCTTAACTTAACAATCACATGACCGCATATCGCTCTGTTTCCAGCCTGCAGGCTTCTTTATTGACAACACAATAGTTATAACACATGATGATTTGATATTAGTATTGTTCTTACATCACTTCCTTGGTGATTGGTGTCTACAGAAGAAGAGGCTACTGGTTCCCGGCAATGGGAGCGTCCCGACCTTTCTTAAAATCGTCCCAACCCTTGACCCAGGGCTGCCCAGGCACTGCTCGTGTCTCCGGTGCAGCATGCTTGTTCAGATTCTTCATGACCTTGTCATGCAAGGCCGAGAATACCTAAGACAATTGACGAGGTTATCAGGAGTAAAGGGAAAAGATACAAACGATGAGACAAAGTCCTGATCTTGAGATAAATGTTACCGGGTTTGTTCTCACTGCCTCTGGGGCCTGTTCTTGATCTGTCAGCCATTTCCAGAGATCCGGGTTTTCCTGAAGAGGGAAGAAAATAAAGTCGAGATCTTTATGTTCAATGTCATAGTCGAATCATCCGAGAAACCACGTGTACAATCTCCGTCAAGCAGAACTCTCTAGTTCACAAAGAGCCAAAGTATGTTTCAAGTGGTAAAGATTGAGAAGAGTTGGTACTGCAACCATCCAAGGCAAACCCGGTAACATTCACATTCTACTCGAATCAATAAACCTGAATTTGGATCATCTTAATGCCATGATCGTGATTTTTTTTCTTCCCCGAGGCATAAACAATCATGCCTAAACTACTATTGAAATTCCTTTTCAAAAACCCATTTCAGTAGTTTGTCAAAATGGAATTGAAATTCATCGTGTATATGTACGTGTACTGTGTACATATATAAACACATTTGCATACATACAGATAAATATGCAGACCAGAGAAAGAATCATGTGAGGAATAGCTGCAATGCAACACCCGAACAAAACCCCTGAAACGTACAACTTAGATAGCAAAAACGAAACTTACCAAATCCAAGACATGGATGAGAGCTTTGACACCGTTCTCGTCCATAGAACCGATATTCTCCTCCACCCAATTCCCTAAAACCAGATCAAGTTCCAGAAACCCTCGTTGCTTGCTCCTATACAATAATCTGTCGCAAAACCCATAAACCGACAATCAAACCTCAACATTAGTTACCCCCCCCCCCCCCCAAAAC